CCTTGCAGTCAGGTTTCCGAGGTGTGTCGAGCTCGTTGACAGGTTTATTGTCATTTGGTGAGCCACAAGTCCTGCAGCATGATAGCACCCAGGGTACAGCTCAAGTTGCAGAAACCGGGGGTAATGCAGCAGCTCACCTTACAAGGAGGGGACATTTTCCGATTATGGATGATGTAGACACTGAGTATGCCCAGCATGCACTTTACATGCAAGACCTTTGGGACCAGGAGGAGGTCAATTTGGGGTCGTCGGGATCTGAGACTTCACCCCCGGGTGAGTTCCAGTGCAAGATGATTGAGGCTCCTGACGAGGTCCAAACCAGAGGTGTTGATGACCCTGAGGATATATGTGGCCCCAGGTTTGCCGCGTCCGTCCAAAGAATAGGAGTTCCAGTAAACAGCCCGTTGACTTCCATGGACACTGTGGCGAGGCCCACGGGTGAGCAGCCTCGGGTGAGTCAGGTCAGCGAGCAGTTTTATACACAGAATGTTGAAGAACTGTTAGAGAGCCTTACCTCCCCTCTGAAGGTAGTGCACAACGTTGCACCGGCAGAAATCAAAAGACATCTCGGGAAATGGAAGGCCGCCGCTGAGGCCGAAGTGCAAGCATTGGAAGGCATGAGCGCCATAGTGCGATACCAAGGAGATGAGGCCAAGAGCATCTCCTCGGGTAGTGATGTCCAGATAATCCCGGCAAAGACGGTATTTACTGTTAAGCCGTCAAGCGACGGCTCGAATTTCCGCCGCAAATGCAGGGTTGTCGGATGTGGCAACTTTGAACCCAGGGATCCTTCGTCCGAAGTATACGCGGGAGGTGTGCCTGCCGATGTGCTTCGAATAGGACTCATCATGGCAGGCGAGAAGTCCTTGAATGCTTGGATTACAGACATAAAAAACGCCTTTCTTTTGGCCCCCCTCCCTCGAGGGAAGGAGGGGCGCATTTTGTTGAGGCCACCAAGGGTCTTAGAGTTGCTTGGAATCACCCAACCGGGTGAGGTCTGGGCAATCACGAGAGCAATCTACGGACTGAGAGAATCACCAAAATGGTGGTCGGACTTTCGTGACAGTCAGCTCAGAGAAGCGAACTGGCCCGGACCTAAGGGACCCATGCGTCTAAGACAGTCACCTGTAGAGGCGCCCGCAGGATGAGGTGGAAGGATATGCGATAGTGTACGTTGATGACATAATGATCCTAGCCAGCCAGGTCAATGCTGAGGCTCTGTATGCTTGGATTCGATCCAAGTGGCAGTGTACACCTTTGGAACAGGCGACTGAAACAAGGCCTGTGACTTTCTTGGGAGTGGAGATCCATGTTGATCATGATGAGAACGGAAGACGAGGATTTTCACTCAGCCAGGGTGGTTACATTGACGAGTTAGTTCGTTCCCATGGTATAAGGCCGGTAGCGCGTGCTGTCCCTTACCCACGTGAGTGGGTTAAGGACTACCCTGACCAGGAGGAGTACGCTCCGGAAACCCTGAGGATGGCCCAGAGGGTGACCGGGGAGATGCTGTGGATTTCTCAGAGGTCTAGGGTTGACATAGCTTACCCAGTTGCTTTAATGGGATCTTGGTGCACTCGAGCCCCGAGCTTGATCATAAAGTTAGGTTTGAGACTCCTTGAGTACTTGTGGACTACGAGAGAGTTGAGGCTGTCGCTTATACCTTGTGACTCTACCAAAAGAATTGTCATATATACAGATGCGTCGTTCGCAACTTACGGCTCAACTTCGATGGAGTATTGATCCTTTTCCTCGGAAGGATTGTTTTGTGGAAAGGAAAAAGGCAAACATTAGTCTCACTGTCGACGGCCGAAGCAGAATTAATTGCGTCTTGTGAGGGCGTAGTGCTCGGACAGAGTGCCCATGCACTCATCATCACCCTGGAGCCTTCGTTGGGCTCGATGCTCCTTTTGGTAGATAATGTAGCGGCAATCGTCCTGACTGAGGGCGGAGGCAGTCAACGCACACGCCACTTACGCGTGAGGGCGAATTTCGTCCGCGACCTCTTAGAACGCGAGGAGCTAGAGGTACAGCGCTGTCCGGGAGATGTGCAGCTCGCAGATGGGTTGACAAAAATCCTCCCAGCCCCTAGGCTTCAGGTTTTGAGGGAGTTAATGGGTCTAGGACCTCCAGGTCCCCCTAGGGTAGCTGCAGTGCATTGCATCCCGCAAGGGTCAGCGCAAGGTATGACCAGGCAGGAGCTGCAGGTGTGGCTATTGATGATGCTGCTTGTACTCCAGATGCAGGAGTCCGAGGCCGGTGAAGATGAAGACGATGCTCAGGCAGAGCCTGTAAACCTTGAGCTCTCAGTAGTGGTTGTCATGATGATGTTGTCTGTGTTGTTTATCTGGGAGGCTGCAAAGTTTTGCATGTCCCGGTGTGCCAGGTTTGAACTGCCATCCGTAAGAATGATAAGGGCAGATGATGATGATGATGCCCATCGCGCGCGTCGTGCAAGGCGTCAAGACGCGGTGAGAAGGGCCATAACCACTGAGTTAGATGGTGAAGGCCTGCGGCGAAGGAGTGAAGCCTTGAATGAGGCTGCGTCGTTGGAGCAAGTGCGGAGCGCTGCTCCGATCGTACAGGTGCATGTATCTAACAGCAGGTCGGATCCTCCGATTCCAATGCCAAGATTTCAGGTCCAGGATCAATCTAGATCCTCTGAAGGATCTAAGGTCCCGTCCACGCCGGAAAACCCACCTACAGTGAATCGCACCGGGCTTGGACTTCCGGACACCAATCCACATCACACGGAAACCACCCATTCAGGGTTGTGTAGTTCAAGTCAAGGGATTCCGAGGACGCGCGAGGTGTCTGTACAGACTGAGGCTCCTCGTGGATTGACACATGAGGAACTTAGTGCACTCCAGGTGACAACAACCAATAATCAAAGACACCCTGGAGTCGTACATCTGCTTCCCGATTGCCATTCGCTGCGCGGGGTCACTAGCACTACTAGGAGAACTTTCTGTAGGTTCTGTTTACAGACGGCAGCAAGGTCGGGAATCTGAAATGTAAGATGCGGAGCAGAGCTCGGCGTCTTAAGGAGGAGTGTAGAATTCCCAACCCTGCTACCTCTCAGGGTTGGTTGAGTGTCCACTTTCTCTTGAATTCAGCCTTGAAGGCTCAGCATGAAGCTCTAGGAATGACAGGGCATGCACAGCACTTTCATCCTTAAGGGATGACATGAAGCAGAAGCCTTTGAGTCTTTCCGTGAAAAAAGAGTGCGGTAGAGTAAGCCCATGCCGACTGCGCCCCTCGTCCTGTGATTTGGAACGATACAGAGAAGATTAGCATGGCATCAACCGTCAATGACGAGAACCCAAATTCGAGTGATCCGAGCGATCAACAGGCTCCTATAGCGGTAACTACCCACCTGAAAATTTGAAAATGTCCTAGTTTGAAGCTCTGTAATCGAAAGACACGAGTACTAGTGTCCACCAACATCTTTTCCACCTGACCCTAAAATCCCCAAGCCTTGCCATCAACTCACAAAAACCACCACACATCCTGAACAGCAACGAAAAGCCCGAAACCCAACCCTAAAATCCTGAACCTTAAAGCCTGAAACCCTCCCTAAACCCTAAAACCCTAAAACCCTAAACCCTAAAACTCAAAACCCTAAAACCCTAAAGCCCTAAAGCCCTAAAGCCCTAAACCCTAAAACCAAGACCCACCCCTCTAAGGCCTCCGGGCATTGCTCTTGGATCACTTTCCGGACCGAAGCCACGGGATTTGCCGGCTCCTGACCGGGTCTTGGATTTCATCTACTGTAGGGGCCTTCATAGTTAGAAGAGGGTTTTGGCTGGAAACTTGACAACGGTTGTTATATGGGGGTCATGAGATTGTAAAGCGCGTAAGAGCTTAAGGGCTTAAGGGCTTCATAGGGTAATCGATACAGGCCAACGGCAAAGGGTTTTCGTTGTATACACAATAACTTGACGGACTGTAACTTGCAATGCTGTCGTTAGTTCTGCAGACAGCTGAATTTGAATCAAGGTTCACCTTCGCCTTGACGTTGTCTACCATGACCTACCTTAAGACTGACTGTTGGGCTCCCTATGCAAAAACAAAAAGACGTGAGTCTGAGGGTGTATTATCTTGGGACGCCAGACAAATGGGTACTAGTAGGTGTAGGTCGCGTTCATAGCTTTTGAATTCGACTAACTACTTGCAAGAATATGTGTAGTTACAAATGGGGTTATAATTAGGGTAGCTAGACTTATAACTAAGCCATATTAGGGGCCGACTTATAGGTGCGTAAAACTCTCTTCTTCAACAACCAGGCCCAAACAAGTTCAAACTTTTTAGGATAGACCGAATAGATAAAGCCAACAAGTTTAAAGTTCCCTTGTTGGCTATCTAAGAAAGACTTATAACTACCCATGACCCTCCAAGTAAGGAACCTTGACATGGCTTCAAGTCCTAGCGGCCTAATCCAAAGACTGACAGAAACCCACAGGAACTGTCCCCGAAAAGCGGTGGTTGAATCAAAACCCGAATTCAACGCCTAAAGTACATCACCAGAAAACAACACAAACTCCAGCAACACCCGAGTCAATGTCTTACGCAGCCCCGTGCCACCCCAACCCAGGCCCTGCCTCAAACCCCCTCAAAGCTTGTAGTCCAAACCCAGTATGAGGCCCTGCCAGTAGCATTGATACACCCTAAGGACATGGCTCCTTCATAATGGGGCGGGTAAGGGCCATTGTGATCCTTTTTGCGCATAATCCTATACGTTCCTCCTTCATAAGGCCCTGTTATCACCCCTATCAGTGACTGCAGCTTTTGCAAGCCCTCAACCATGCTGAAGTGCACAGACCCTGGTACAAGATCCCTGCATAAGTCCTTTACATCGAGAATAAGCCCTGAACAGTGCTGTAACAACCCCATACCCTTTTTTACGAACCAGGATGAAGCCCTTGACTCTAAACCCTCCCAACAAACAAAAACAACATCTTTTATTTCACTCCAAACTCAAAACCCGATAGAAAATAAATCGTACACAATAATTAGACACTAGAAAATGAATCGTAGACAATAATTAGACACTTAGCGGGCTGAGTAATCGCTTCCCCCTAATATTAAAAGGGGGGGGGGCCCCCACCCAATAGATATTCAAAATATATTTTTATAATTAGGGGGTATTTTTATCGCTACTGCCAGATTTGGGTAATTAGACTGGTCATTCAAACAAAGACAGACTCCCGGGCATTTGAGACGATTCCTAAACTTCTTCAGAAATCCACGATTTCTAGTATCGCTGCTTGTACAAAGATTCAATTTGGGCCCATGACAGATTTTTGGACATTTGGGACGCATCCTAAACCTCTTCAGCAAT